TGGTCCCTCCCGGCCTCAGGTTGCAAAGACTCAGCTGCAGAGCATCAGGGCAGGGGTGGGGGTGGGGATCTGACCCGAGGCCAGCCACCATCCATCCCCTGGTTCTTACGTTTCAAAAGAAAAGAAAAAAGAAAACTTGTAACAAACAAAGTCTGTGCAAACGGAGAACTCATTAAGCTGTTTCTCACTCAGGGACCCGGGGGGAAGCAAGAGCTCCATAAAAAAAATCAATAAGGACAAGTCCATGGCCCAGAGGTGGGAGCACTTCGTCGCCACACCAAAGGTAACCAGCTGCGGGCCGCCCTGCCCGGTAGCCACCAGCCCCGGGCCTGGGCAGGGACGGGTTCTGCCCATCTTTTCTCTAATGCAAACTTTTTTTTTTTTTCCTTGTTGGCTTTTGGAGTGAAGGGAAGTGAGCGACCACAGGCTGGTGGATGGTTCTTATGAATTTTAATTAAAATGGTTATCTGGGGATTATAGGAAAAATGACATTGGGCTGGGCGCTGCTTGAGAGGGGGTGCTGAGCGGCTGTTCAATAAGATGTCACCAGAAGGAAATGGACTCATCTCACTCCACCTCCTAAATCAATAACCCTCACTCCTCTCTCTCTCTCTCTCTCTCTCTCTCTCTCTCTCTCTCTCTCTCTCTCTCTCTCTCCTGAGTGCTCCAACAGACAAGATTCCCTACAAATTAGAATGTGTGCTCACTGTTAAGAAAATATCCCAACCCCAAGCTACTCCTCACCCCCAAACTCCCCGGTTTCCTCCCAACACTGCCCGAGGCAGGAGGCGATATTTCAGGAAGTGAAGACTCTATTGTTGGCTGAGCCTGTCTGTCCCTCACCCACAAAATGGACATAGTGCTGGTCCCTGCCTACCTCACAGTCGTGGTGAAGAACACAAAGGTGCCATCTGCAAACTCACCTTGAAACTGCGGGAAGGCTGAGCCTGCTTAGCAATTTTTAGAGGCCGTTTTTCCATCAATGTACTCATAAGGAGGCCAGTTCTATGCTAAGGAAGTTCTTTACTTCAATTATCCAACTCTGCCTTCTTAATAACCCCCACGGGACACTATTCTTATCCTCTGGTGGGAGAGGAGGAAGTTGGAGTTCAGAGAGGTTAAGTAACTTGTATGAGGTCACACAGCTGGGTGGTGGCAGAGGCAGGAGTTCATCTTGGGTCTGTCCATGTATTAAACCTTGAGCTCTTCTCCTGCACGTTCCCCTCCATAGACCATTTGCACCATTTTCCTGCTCTTTTTGTCAGACCGCTCCGAGATCTGAGAAGCAAGAGCCTTTGTCTCTATCTCAGAAAGTTGCTATGGAGATATTGTGCACATCCGTCTCCAGAGATGCACAGACAGAGCAGCAGGAGCTGCAAACCCTGACAAATGTCCTTCAGGAATATTCACGACTAGAACTGGAGGAGGGGAGTGAATTGCTAGAGCAAATTTCCCAGCAAGCCTGTGTGGGGTCCCACCCGGGACGGTAGTGGGGTCCACTCTGGGGGCGTGAGAGCACTGAACGGGATGAAGGATGCCTGGTTCAGTCGCGGTGACTCCATTCACTATGTGACCTCGTCCCCTCTCCTGATCTCAGTTTCTCTGCCAGTCAAGGACGGAGCATTTGGAAATCCCACCGCCCTTGATATCTTTCTGGAACCGTGAAGACCTTGACAGGGCCCCAGCTGTGTTCCAAAGGGCCAAGAAAATGGTGCAGATGGAAGAATCAGCCCAGGGGGGCACAGTAGGGAGGGGTGAGGTCTGTGGCTTCTCTTTAGCCAAGAAAGCTAAGGAAAAGCCCCTCTGCTCAGCACCAGCTCATTTTGTCACATGAGAATAAAAACTCAGGCCTTGTCTTTTCCAAGAGAAAAGAAAAAAACTTAGTTTTTTTTTTAATGTAAAAATCTCCTAATGTATAAAATCCAGGCTGATTAAATATGTCTCCCTGGGAGCCACAGTTTGCCACCCCTGCTTCTTAGACAGTCTAAGGAACCATTCAGGGATTCTGCTACCAAAAAGTCAGTCCCTACTGATGTGGTTACCATTGCTTCTGAGTGAAATAGAAAAAACAGAGAAGCATTTGGGGATGGAAGTCAACTCAGCGAAAGTCCGTTCCATAAAGGGCAAGCAAGGCGCTGAAGCTGTCACATCTCCCCCCACCCCGACCCCACATTTTTATTTTTCCGCCACTCTCAATGAATCAGAAGTGTCAGCCCTTCGCTTTGGACTTTCCTGGCTGGGGTGGTTAATTGAATTTTAATTACTGGCAACTTTGAGGAGCACAAGATGAAATCCTAGCTCGGAGAAGATGCACACAAAACTGTGGCTAGGGAAGGCCCTGCTGAGGTCCTCCCAGTTCCACCTCTGAGTGTTTTGTAAGTGCCTTTGGCTCTCGGTCCAGGGCTCACTGTAAGATTCCAAGATGCCCCCCGCGACCGTCTGTCCAGGCTCCAAATCTGACATTGAGAAGAAGAGTCCGGTTTCCAGCCGCAGGAATCTGTACGGTGGCCGAGAGAACAGAGGCGACCTGTGTGTGTGCCACCTGTGAGCTCTGACATCATCTCTCCCCTGGGTGCCCGGCAGGAGAGGGGCTGTCAGGCAGGACAGAGGGAGCCTTGTTCCCAGCTCCTAATTAATCAAAGGAGAGAACACGCCAACTCTTGGTATTTGCTTTGACTTTTATCACAGGCGTTTTGCAACCCCTTGGAGGTCTGGCTAAGCCCAGTTCAAACTCCGATCCCCACCCCCAAGTCTGTCACATTCTGAAGCATGCTGCCATTTGGATAGAAAGTCACTGAAGAGCCAACCCCAGGAAGAGCTCACACGATAGCCTTCCCCCCACCTTCTTCTCCGTCTTCTCCCACCTTCTCCTTCCTCTGTGCAACCAAGAAATCCCTCCCCTCTTCTACTGCAGGGAAGTTCCACCCACATTCAGGGCCCCTTGAGGCAGCCAATCAAAATACGGCTCCTCCTGGGAGTGGGGGCGCACTCCTTAACTCCAGAGATTCAGGAGGCCAGGGCAGGAGGATCACAAGTTCGAGGCCAGTCTAAGCAACTTAGCGACACCCCATGTCAAAACAAAAAATGAAAAGGACTGGGGATGGGGCTCAGTGGCCAAGCGCCCAGCACAACTGTGTGTGTGTGTGTGTGTCTTCTGATCACGTGTCATGGACTCCTGAAATGAACCTGCTGGATACAATTCTCTCCACCCGAGGTGTGCTCTTCTGCCCCCTCTCTCCTTCCTGTCTTCTTTCCTGGGCAACTTTGTGCTTCCTCTAAAGAAGTCATTTGTCTGACCCCCCCCCACACACACACACACGGCTTTCATTTAAAATGTGCTCAAATAAAATCATCTTTATCAATTGGGTGTAAATTGTCACCCCACCTGTTGTGAGCTTTTCCTCTGGAGTTGTAGAGGGCCTACTCTTCCCTACCAAAAAACCCTAGGAGACAACTTTTTTGTTGGTTTGGTGCATTAGGGATTGAACCCAGGGGCGTTTTACCCCTGAGCCACATCCCCAGCCATTCATTTGGAGACAGAGTCTCTATCAATTGCTGAGGCTGACCTTGAACATGTGAGCCTCCTACTTCAGCCTCCCAAGTCCCTGGGACTTCAGGCGTACATCACCTGGCATTTTAAACGCCATAAAGAAGAAGCCTCACCGTGGGATCCAGGGCACTTTCAATGCCACTGAAAAGGGCTTCCAATGAATTTTTAAGTAATCAGCTTTGGTGTGAACCTCACCTGTGTTTGAACCCTGGCTCTGCGGCTTGCTAGCTGTGTGACCTTGGGAAAGTTAAGAAGACTCTCTGAAACTTGGAACATGCGTGTCAAGAGGACATGACCTCAGAGAGTACCTTCTGGAGAGACAACAATAATGTCGGAAGATACTCGTGCACATACACACATGTGCACACACACACACACACACACTCGTAACCCGTTCTCTATGACTCCTTCCCTTCCCCTCACAAGCTTCTCTGTCTGCCTCTTGATCCCTTCAGTGCCTTCCCAC